GTCCTGCCGCACGCTGCGGGGCTTCCAGGGGCTGCTGGAGCGGGAGTGGATCCAGGTGGGAGCGGTGGTCCCAAGGGAGCTGGGTACCTGAGCCAGGCTGGGTGCTCCCAGCTCCCCCCTTCACCCCCGTTGTTCCCCCTCGGGGGGTCCCCCCAGGCCGGCCACCCCTTCCACCTCCGCTGCGCCCGCTCTGCCTACTCCCACGCGCGGCTGAAGCAGGAGGCGCCGCTTTTCCTCCTCTTCCTCGACTGCGTGTGGCAGCTGAGCCGCCAGTTCCCCTTCTCCCTGGAGTTCAGCGAGCGCCTCCTCCTCACCCTCTTCGACAACGCCTACGCCTCCGCCTACGGCACCTTCCTCTGCAACAACGAGAAAGAGAGGCGAGTGGGGCGGGCGGTGGGGACAGCAGCATCCCCTGGGAGCAATGCCATGGTCACCACTGTGCCCTTGGTCACAGCTTGGGTCAAATTTGGCCCCAGGACCCTCGACAGGGACTGAAATGCGCCCCAACTCTCCCATAGGTGCCTGTGTAAGGTGAAGGAGAGCACGCACTCCCTCTGGGCCTGCCTGAGCCAGCCTGGGGAGAGGGAGAAGTACCTGAACCCTCTCTACTCGCACAATGCCCTGGTGATCTGGCCCTCGGTGGAGCCGCAGAGCATCCAGCTCTGGCAGGGTGAGCTCAAGCTCCGAGCTGGGCTAGGAGAGGGAAAGCTGCTCAGCTTTGCCCTCTCTCAACAGAATTTAATGCATGGCCCCTTCACTCCTAGGTTTGTTCTTCCGATGGATCCGCTCATCCCAGTACCTGGACGAGGCCTGGGCAGAGATCCAGCAGGTGGTAGGGGGCAGTGAGCCCCTCGTCAAGGAGAGCACAGGGAACAGGCTGAGCCGGTCCCTCTCTGACCCCGCTGCCCCCATGGAGAATGAACGATGAACATTGGCGTGGACAACTCGGTCCCCACAGGCCACCAGGCTTGGGTGGGAAGTGCTGTGCAGGACACAGCCCCCACAAAGCCTGAAGGACACCCCCAGACAAGGGACAGCCCCCCCTTTCACAGCCTCTGGGCTGCAGAGACTGAACTTGCTTCAGTAAAGTGCTCTCTCTCGCAGCCCTCGCCTGCTTTTCCACTCTTTTCCCTCACAAGCGGGGCTCCTTCCTGTTCTCTAAGCAGGATTTCAGCAGCAAAAGCACTGTCAGCACAGCAAAAACCGAGCAGCAGAACACAGTATGAACTCACAACAACTCCCTCTCCACAAAGGCCACGCTGGCTGCAATTTCAGTGTTGCATCAGTCGCTCCGAGCTGGGAGCCAGCCCGGGAAATCTGCCCTTGAACCCAGTTTTGAGGCAGGAAAGAGATAGAAAAACCACCCCTGCAGAGACAGGCACAGGGCGAGAGGGCTGCAAGGACGAGGATTTGCCACACCAGCGTACGAGCGCAGGAAATAACTGTTCCAGGAGGAAAGCTGGCCCAGGGTCAGTGCAGCAAATAAACCAAAGCAGGGGGTGTGTGTCAGCTGGAAAACGACGACTGCTGCGGCGTTTCCAGCCTCTTCACGCTTCAGGGCTGCACCTGAACCCATCGCTGCAGCTCCTGCCCGAAGAGTTCACCAGGGGTGGGCAGAGACCAGCAGAGCAAAGCGCTCAGGGTAATTTTGTTCCAGACTATAAAAAAAAATAAACCAACCCCACAGAGAGGCTTTTCCTTGTGTTTATAAAAGATTTCTATTTATTTCCTGATGATTTGGCGCTTTTTTTCCCTCCCCTGATGTATAAATAAGCAGAGCAGGAAGCATCCCCTGGGGGCAGGCAGGCAGCCCAACTCCCTCCCTCCCTCACCTCCTCCAAAAGCCCGAGCCAGTTGGGTTTCTAGTTCAGCCTCCGAATTTGCTGCTTCCCGCTGCCTCCCATGGAGCAGACTGACTTCAGGCCTTACAAGAGTCCTGCGCAGCGGCCAATGGAGTGGAAGAGGAGAGGGAAATCCTCCTTTAAGCTTCAAATTCAAACTCAAAGTACTGGGGATCGAAGTAATGGATGCGAACGTAGCCATCCTCACCCCCGCTGCTGTAACTGTATGGGAGGAAAGACAACATCAAGTCACCCGTGTGCTCCCTGCCTCCAGGTTTATGCCACAACTCCCTCCAAAAACTAATAACGGAGTCACAGGACAGAAAAAATATCAGTGAAGCAGCTAAAAATGTGCATTAGGGCAAGTGTGAACCCCCCAGACAGCCTCGGGGGGGACAGCAGGGCTGGGAGAATTAAGGAAGGTGCTGGCTCTGTTCTCCTGTGAGCCCAAAGGTGGGCTCGGCTTGACCAGGGCATCCTGTGAGACCCCCCAGAGATCCTCACCTCTTCCCATCAGGGTGAAAAGCAACGCTATTTATGGGACCGAAGTGACCCTTCACTCTGCCAAACTCTTCTTCAAAAGCCAAGTGGAAGAACCTGGGAGAAGGAAGGAGATTTAAATCATCACCAGAAGGCAGCAGCCTGCTTGGGGACACGATCAGGGTTTCCGCAAAAATTGCTCTGCAGGTTTAATGACTCCTCCAACGCTGGCAGGAGCAAGATGCTCCGGGAACAGGAGTCCTCCAGGGGAAAAAAGACCAACCTGGCCTCAAATTTGCCAATCCTGGTGGAGGTCGTGGTCACATCCATGGCCTCTTGCCCGCCACCAAGCACGACCTGCGAAGGAGAGAAGCCACAATGCTTCAGTGCTGCTTACACCACACACTCAGCAGCCACCAGGAGAGAAGGGAGCCTTGGGGAAGGATCCCATTAACCCCATAGATCCCTCACTCCTGAGCAGCCCCAACTCCAGCCCCAGGGAAATTCCCACCTCCCAGACACACTCATTTGAAGATCAGAGGACACAAAGCCTTGTTCCCTGCACCGGACCACAGCAAAGCTCCCCACACCCATCCCAAGCCCTGGTTGTCACAGTAAGGCCATTAATGATGAGCGAGCTCATTCTTACGTGATCAAAAATGGGGGAGAGCGCGGCAGAGTTCACCGGTCGCTCTGTCCGGAACGTCTTCAAGTGCTCGAGTGTCGTGCAATCAAATAGCTAGGAGGCAAAAGGGAGAGTTATTGGGCTGGCAGCCCAATTTTTAAGGGCAAACCTCTGCGATAGCCACAGCTCTGAGCAAGCAAATATCCCCAGTCCACTGCGTTTCTGACGGGAAGCCTCACCTTGGCTGTGTTGTCCTTGGAGGCAGTGATGAACATGGTCATGTCCCTGGAGGTCTGAATGTCGTTGATCTGCTTGGTGTGCTCCTTGATGTTTGACAGCTGCTCCCCTGACTGAAGGGGAAAGAAGGGCAGTTTCAGGGTGTTGAAGTGAAGTGAGCGTACACGAGACTTGTCCATTAAAAACAATTCAGGAGATCACAGACGTCGCTGTCAGCAGCGGGACAGACGTTGGCACGTCAGCCCTGCTCAAGGGAGCCCCGTATTTGAACTGTCCTTCCACAGGGCTGCTGGGTTTGAGCCAAAAAGCCCATATTTTGTCCCATGACCACAACAGAAACGCTGTGACATCCTCCCCCAGCACTGCTGCCCGAGGGAGACGCTGTTCCTTATCAGACTGACCTTGGCACTGAACTGGTTCAGCTCCCCGCTCTCGTGTCCTGCGATGATGAACTCTCCCAGAGGGCCCCACACAGCGCTCGTGATTTTGGAATCACTGCAGGGGATTTTCATGTAAGGCTCGTTGTTCTCTGCAGGAAGGAAGGAGACAGTCAGACAGACACAGTGGCACCGGCTGCGGCGATCAACGCTTCCCCCCACTCCCTGCTGCAGGCACTGGCCCGCATTCCTCACCGATCTGGCTGGGGTCCCGAAGGTCAAAGAAGCTCACGAAACACTGATATCCCATCTGCTTGTCGGTGGAAAACATGATGATGTTTCCTCCAAAGTCGAAGCCACACGTCCTCACCGCAGAGCTGGTCTTCACCAGAGCAAGCTGCTTTCCTGAACAGAGAGCAGAAACCATCAGTAAGACACCAAGGGGGCCTTCACTAACAACAAGAAGCAGCAGAAGGGCAGGGTCTGAGGGAGGACGAGAGCATCAGGCGTAGCTGACAAGCAGGTTTGGTGTCCTGCACGCACATTTTGACTACTTGGACAGTAAACAGAGTAAATTCACTAAATATTCACTAGAAACCAGGCGCACACACAAACCCTCCTCTCCCACAGTCTGGGTTTGGATGTGAATAAGCCTGTGTGACGCTGCCACCGCGTCCTCCAAGCTCAGCAGATTTTGGGGCAGGCCAGCACGGTGACACAGACACAGCGACAGAAAAGGGAGAGCCTTACCAGTCTCACAGTCCCAGAGCCGACAGCTGTTATCTGCAGAGCCGGTGAGCACGTGTCGTGTGTCCCCTAGGTCACCAGTCAGGGAATATCAACAGGTTCTCAGCCCCAAAAAGCTACTGTATAAATTCCCAGGGAGTATTAATACACAAGCTTAAAAAGCTGTGTTACACACAGATATGGCAACATCTGTTCCAGGACCAGACAGATGTGGAGTCTGAGCGCTCCCACTACAAACCCCACAATTTTCCTCTTTAAATATTAAAGCAAAAAGCTGCAGCTCCTGCATTAACACAACTTTTGCACATTTTTATCTCTGCCACCCGCTGTCCACATTGGAGACAGAAAATCTTGTGCAGCTTGGACACTTTTCCTGAGCTCTGAGGGCCTCCACAGCAAAAGCAACGATGCACAAATGAGAGCAGGCAGGGTAATACTGCACATATTGTTCCAAACAACAGCTCCAGAAAGAAAAATACCCAAACAGGAAAAGACAGCAGACAAGTTAAATGCAAAGTGTGGCTCTCATGGTCCTCTCTGAAAGGAAACAGTGCAGCAGCTGTGAGGAATCACCTCGACTGAATCACTGGAAAGAAAATCCACGGGACAAACTGGTTCTGCCACCAAAGGATACAGTCTGCATCCACGCACCAGACGGCTCCGGTGTGGCCGTTGTAGGTACCCAGCCTCTCTCCATTCACCGAATACCAAACGTTCACAATCTGGGAGAAGAAACCAACCGAGGCCCTCGCTTACCAGGCGAATTAATGAACAGCCTTGATGAACAACCGCCCGATTATGGCGGTGGGAGCTGGTTTTTCACCCGGGGGAGGTGGAGGGGCCCCGCCTCACTCACGGGATCCTTGGCCACAGTGAAGAGCAGGTCTCCCTCCCGGTTGTACTTGATCTGCGTGATGGAGCGCTCATGGCCCTGCAGCAGGATCGGCTTCTGCGAGGGGGGAGACGCCATTTAACGCCTCAGGAGAGGCGAGGGCTCGACCCCC